GAGGTTGAAGTCGCAGTTGTTCTGGAAGTTATTGCCAACGTCATTGCCGACATTAGAGTTCGTCATCATCATCATCATCATCAACAACAACTTCATCTTTATATTCATTGGTATTTTGCTTTTGCCTGTGCCAACTAAATTTTAATTGCAATTCATTTCAAGTCTCACTTGAGCGGCTACACATCCATGGTCAAAACGAACTCCCGCCGTGCCTCTAATGCCAACTCATCATCGTTCTGGCCCAGCTTCTCCAGCTAGCAGCTAATAGCCAATAAAAAAAGCTCATCATTAGCTAATCGCACAGATATATTGCTAACGAGCTGCATCAATCGACTTTCACTGCTCAGATCTGAGCTTGACGATCGAGTCATATCTTAATCCTAAATCCAGGTGTGGTCGATCGAATCTATACATATGTGCACAGAGCAAAAGCTCAATTAAAATAATCACAAGATAAGCCTAAACATTTTTTAATTGTATATATAATTCGCACTTAATTATTTAATATAGTGTATACACAGTAAAGTATGAATATCTTCGAAAGAAATATGAATTCCAGAAATATACATCTTATTTGAATTTGGAATTTCATTCATATTAAAAATCATAATCAAAAACATAATCAATTCGAAGAAGAGAAAAAGAAAGAGAGAAACTGAGCAAATTTTATTAACACACACTTTTCTCCAAGAGATTGGCTATTGATTGAAAGCCGAGACTGCAGTTGGCCTAAAATAGTATCTGTATTTGCCAGTTTCCATACTGGCATGAATACAAATATCCATATTCATTTGTGGTGCATTTGGTGCAGCGATGCATTGAAGTGCAGCAGCTGCATATAAATATGGAATTTTTAATTTTAGATTGTGATCCCTGCTCGGGCCAAGGAGATGCTAGCAATTGTGCCATGTGTGTGCAACGCGGGGTGGCTAAAATAGGTGGCAACATATATTATTTTCATTTGTCTGACAAAAAATTATGCTAAAAGTCAGTCGAAACTATGACAATAGAGCAGAGTAGAGAGAGAGAGAGAGAGAGATAGAGAAATAACTGAAAAAAGCTTTTATCAGTGCCAAAATGAAGTCGTTTTGTGGCATTACTCAACAAATATTCTACATGCTGCACATTTTTATACAATTTTATATTCGCTTTTGGCGAGTGTTGAATAAATTGCCGAATGAATATTTGATTTCGGTCAATTGCCGTAATTTTCGGGTTAAAAATAAACAATTAATTATGAACACACATACACATACACATACACATTAACACTTAAACTCACATTATATTTTAGTTAGTTATGACTTTTTGTTGCAATATTCAAATTCGATGACTGATTGACTTGCCAACCAGCTGACCAACAAATGAGAGACTGGCTGACAAGCTTTAGCTGCAGTGCCAGCCTAAGGCCAGGTGACAAAAATGAGGGTAACATTTTCAGTTGCCATGGCCACTAATTGAAAGTGCCTGAAGGGGGATGAAATACAGTTACGAACCTATTTGAAATATTGTTCAATCATCTGGGGAATAGCTGTAAAACAAAAGCCCATCGACCAGGCCTCCCATGGGGCGTGTGTCGTGTCGCACTCTGCAGGTGCTTCACTGTACTTAAATTCCTGGCTATGACCAATTTAAATGGCTCACAAAGCAGCTCTCCATGTCCTTCAATTGTGTGTCAGCTGAGTGCTGACGGCAACTTTGTCCTTACTCAGCCTACATTAAAGTCTCATTCTATTTTTCTTTTTGCTTTTCTTTAATAAATTATTTAATTGATTTGTAATCAGCTGAAAGCCGGTCTGCTTCATTTTAATTTGCTGCACTTGACACACCAAACTTCACTTTGAAGTGGCAACACCAAGGATTTCATTAAGAAAAAAAAAAACGCAGGCGAAATGTTTCTCCTTTGTTTCCGCTTATGCAGAAAATCTAAAGCATTTTTATATCGATTTAATGTTTTCTCATAAATCCATTGGCAGTTGCAATTTTGAGAATTTTTCCGAATTTAATTCGATTTGATTTACTCGATTTTCACAGCCCGAATTGAGCGAATTTATTGACACAAAATCTTTACTGAAATGGCCTTTGGCCAGCATCAACTTTTGTGCGGTATTTCGATGCGACCAGCTAAAATCAAACATTTTTCTGCAGTTTTTTTTTCATTCTTCTATTTTTCTGTTTATTTTTTATGTTTTTTTTGTTGTTGTTTTAGCTGCGAGCAGCGGAAATATGGAATAATTAATATTCGGTTCGCTGTTGCAGTTTCTTCACTTTGATTTTATTGCAGAAACGAAATTTCCGGCTAAGGCGACGACGACGGCGCCAACTGGCTGGCAGTCTTATAGCCTGGCCAAAACCGAGGTCGAAAGCAAACGGCGACGACGGCATTAGCTGCCATAATTTTAATTGCGTTTAATGGCGCAGGAATTGAATGCGAATGTTGAGCGAGCGGAGAAAAAAATAATAAACGCATTAATTAGAAAACAAGTAGCAGCAGTCCTGCAAAAGAGAAAAAGCGAGAAAGAGATAGAGAGAGAGAGAGAGAGAGAGAGAGAGAGAGAGATAGAAAGACAGAGAGAGCAACGCAAGAGTAATAAAATAATAATAATATGGCATGCCAACGTGACCGACACGCCACAGCCACGCCCACCACTCAGTGGTCGTCCAGAATGGCAGTAAATTAGGCGCTCGAGACTAAATACCCGCAAAATTCACGCACTTGACACAAATTCCCTTGGGGCGCATGGCATTAAAATTGAAAAAAAATAAAAAAATTATCTAGAGAAAAAAGAAAAAGAAAAAGCGAAAAGTGCACAAAAACGGGAAAAGCACGCAAAAAATAATTCATAATAATGCTGAATTGGCGCCGAGAGTGGGTTTAGGCGATGTAGGCGAAGGCAATATGGAAGGGCTGCTGCGGTGTGTGGAAAACTGTTAAATGCCTGTGGTTGAGTTGAGCCGGGCAGAATGGAATGGAAACCACTAAAGCGGAAGTGCGAGCAAATGGAACAAAAAAATGCTGCTGCTACCCCAAAATATTAGCCAAGAAACAGAACAGAAATGGTCAGCAAGGAGACCGATGCATTCAGCGTCTTCGACTCGAAACTAATTTGAACTGCATAAATTGAGATATGCAATGAATATCTATAATCCAATGGAAGTCCTATTCTAATTCCTATTGCATAAGAAAAACGCAGCAGGGCGATTATTAATAAATGATTATGAATGATGACCATTTCCTTAAGATAAATTCAGTTTTCTATTCATCTTTTTCGTAATTTGATAGATTTGATACGATTTTGATTGAGCTTAGGCAAATATATCAGTCATCTAACATTTTTTTTTATCTGTGTGAACCAAAACGAATTCAAGCCTCAACAAAATGGAGTTGAACTTTGCTTGCGACTCGTTGACAATTATACGAAAAGTTTCTTCAAGATACTAAAATTAAATTCTATCCAAGTCAACTATGCATTTTTGGTCGAAGTCAAGCCTCGGTAATGGAAATCAACTGTGCTGTGCTCTTTCGGGAAGGAGAAGAATCACATAGCACGTTTATTAGAAAACCTTGCCGAGTCACTTGCCAATCGTTGTAGGCCCACTTAAAAAAAGAAAAGAAAAGCATAAATTCGTTTTAATTAATCCGAAATTGAAAAACAACGCGAAATGAGCATGGGTCTATCATGGTACTATGATAGCGACGAGCCGCCCGCCAAGATCAGGAAATTGGACTATTCCTTGATACCCCTGGAAGGCAAGATAACGCCAGATTCACAGAAACCCAACAGGGTCAGCGACAGTGGCTGCTCAGCTTCTACATCAAAATGGGGCGATTCGGAGAGAAAATTGACAAGAGAGGAATCGAAGAACGAACTCCCTCCAGTTATTTATCAAAAACCATAACCATGACATTGCAACACCTAAGGACCACAAGGATCGCCAAATGGTGACAGAGGCTTCCCCCTAACTGTACTCATCAAGCAGAAGCATACACAAAGAACACACACACACACACACACACACATACATACACACACACACTCACACACACACACACACACACACACACACACACACTCACACACACACACATGGCGAATAATCATAATTGTCAAATGGAGATTGAATAAAAAGAAGAGCCTCTTACCAGCTATTTTGGTCTGTCAAGATATCTATAACTAAACTAGTTATTAGTGAATTAGTTTTTGCACAAGTTGCAAAAAGCTTAATTCATATAAAAGTGTTTGCAATGTTGTCGCCAAAAAACGGTTATAATATGTATATATTTGAGTTGCCAATTATCGATTACAAGAATCGAACAAAATCACGAAAAGAAGACCAGTAACGCGACAAAAAATAGTAAAGTGATAGAAAAGAGAGTAAATAGGAATATGATGTTCTGGCAATTAGAATTTATTAATAGTTTAGTTATTAATATCATACCGTGCAACTTTGGGTTGCACGACTCGCTAAAATGGCGGCTTGCTGTGCCACCAAGTTTTGCAAATTCTGCCTCCTACTCAGCAGTTTCTTCAGGCCAAAGGGCATATGGGAACGTACTTTGGTCAAGTTGTGTGTTTGAGCTCCTTTTGCAACATTTGCAGTATGCCCCTTTATGATCGCTTTAATTTATTTCATTTGACATTGGCACAATCAATAGTTGGCACCGATTAACAAAATTAATTTCAGAATATTTGCCTTTCTTACAACAGAATATCGACTAAGCAAAAAAGTGTAGATTAAGTCTAGAATTTTTTCGGCTAACTCAAATAAAAAAAGTCACTGCAGTGCCACCAGTAACTGAGACTTATGTCAAAATATTTATAGCTCTCATTTACTTTTGTAAAGACATTCATAAATCACTAAAGCGATTTTAGCTGCTGATATATGTAAATAAATATGTAAATAGAAAACAATTTAATTTGTTTCCATGTGCTGCAATAGTTTTAAATATACTCTTGCATATATCTATATCTACAATTGACTTTCTTTTCTATTTGCAGATGGCGTGCGCTTAGAAACGCGCTGAAAAGGCTCGCGTTATGTGACAGCAGCAACAAGAATATTTAATATAAATGCAGCCACGCTGATTGAGACAATCAAGTGGGAAATCTAGTGAAACAGACAGACAGAGAGAGAGAGAGGGAGAGAGAGAGAGAGAGAGAGAGAGAGACAGAGTGATATCTAGAAGGAGAGAGCATGTGGAAAACGAAATCGAAAATGTGCAACGGCAGCAATGCAATCACGACGGCAACGGCAACGGCAACGGCAACTGCAATGCTTACAAACTTATTAGCGAAGTGCACGAAATCAACAAACTGCCCCAAAGGCAGCAACGCTAACAATTATCAGCAGAGGTGCATACGAGGGGCAGGAGAGCAGCCGCACAAACAGCGAACAAAACATCAAAACATGCAGCAGATGCAGGATAAGCAGGAAGAGCAGGAAATGCCGGGGAAACAGCAGCAGCATAATCAGCGGCAACATCAACAACGTCAGGAACAAGGACATCAAATAAAGCAAATGACAACGGGGATAAATGGAGTGGCAGTCGCCGTTGCGGCAGCCAAAGAACATGAACACAAACACGAATTTGGACGAGACCCAGGACAACGTCGTCGAAATTGCAATACTGTTGCCAGAGTGCAGCCTCAGCAGCAACAGCAGCAGCAGCGAAAGCAGTTTAGGAGGCTATATCAACGTGGCTGTCTTTCAATTGTCCTGTGGTTGACATTGGCTGCGACATCAACGACAGCAACAGCAGCAGCAGCAGCAGCAACTGCAGCACCAGCAGCAGCAGTAGCAGCAGTAGCAACAACAGCAACAATAGCAACAACTGCCAACCCAACAGCAACACCTTTAACAACAACAGCCACAGCAACAGTAGCAGGAGCAGTGCCGACAATGTCCCAGCGCATCGCCCGCTCGTTGAGCAGCGGCCACAACAGCGTTGGCGCCGGCGTCGGCAGCGGCATTATCGGCCACAACAGTGGCAAGAGCAATACAAGAGAACACTATGAATTGAGCAATGGTGCCGGTGGTGATGGTGTTGGTGTTGGTGGTGCTGCAGCTGGAGCTGGATCAAATGGTGGTGGTGGTGGTGGTGGCGGAGCAGCGGGCATTGAGTGTCCCAGCTTCGATGATAGCTCCGCTTGTCCATGCTACAAGTTCGAGGATGGTAAGTGCAAATGGGCGAACGAGCAAACGAACCGAACTAATTAAACGCATCAAAGCCGACCAGAGCAAAAGTTTATTGCATCCAACAACGTGTAGACAAGCACAATAACAAATCACGGCAACCCCAAAGCAACACGAAACACCCAGTTGTCCATTCCAGACGCTCTTGATCCCTTTAGTGTCTTTATGTGTTTGCCTGTGTATGTGTGTGTGTTTGTGTGTGTGTGTGAGACCACTATTTAAACGCCAGCACATGCTACGCATGCCAAGATGTTTACTTTGACACCAGAGAGCGTCAGCAAATCAGAGTCCAATGTCGAGCCGAGCCAGCCGAGCAGAACAGCAATTAAAGCTTTACTCCAGCACCACACGGTGGATTGGGTTGAGAATGCACTTGAATATGAATGAACACACACATGGGCATGCATATCATTACCAAGAGTAGCCCGAAAAACGAGAACAATTGCATTTAGATTAGCAAAGGAGCTTTCAATTAATGTTATTTAACTACAGTTTATGGATTTCATGTGCTTTTGGACTTGTATTTCATCTTGTCTATGATGTATTGATTTTGGTTTTAGTGTGTCTTAAAAGCACTCAAGCATTGTGCTTTTGCTTTGAGAAATGTGAAGATCATTTGCGCATTTCTAGAAGCATTCTTGTGCTTTCCGAGCAGCGAAGTTTACCAATTTCCTGCAGCACAACAATGCTTGATTATGATTAAGTACTTATTGACTAATAACGTTAGCTTTGCAATGTGTTGTCGTATTCAGGACCCAACTATGGACAAACACTCCACACTCATGCACAGACCCACTTGCAACAACACACACTTATGCCCCACTCAATTGATGCACGCTGCTCTGGTATACTGGTGACTGTCCTTTTATCCGGCTGTCTGGTCTTAAGCTTACTTAAGCGAAGTCGCCCGCATTGCAAATAATATAGATTACGATGGCCAGAAGCAGCAGCAACAATCATTGTTGTGCTCTGGCCATTTTGAGACTCTGTGGGGACAGTCTTTGGACTAATTGAAATGCATGAAATGAACTTGTTGTATGCCCAGAAAAGAGCCTGAAACTAAAGAGAATCAGAACCAGAAGGCCTCTTAAGGTTTCTTCGACACAATGTTGAAGATTATTTTCTGATTTTCATATCGGTTGCATGTTCGCAGGACTTTTCCTCGAGTGTCCTGGCACTACGGCTCTGTCGCTGCGCTCAACGCTGGAACGCATCTCGGCGCCGATACACTCGTTGTCCATTTATGATTTTGATCGGTCTGTCACATCGCTCTCCCAGGACGTAATCCAGCCGGGCGTCCACATACGCCACCTGCAGTTCTCGCACTCGCACCTGGAGGCGCTTAAGGAGAATAGCCTGCGCAACGTGCGCGGCAGCCTCGAGTCCCTCAGCATTGTCAATGGCAAATTAACACAGGTAAGCGGCCAACAAGTCAAATTATGTATACGTCATATGCAACACTCTCTCAAAGCACGCAGGAAGTGCCCATGTTCCTGACACATCTTTTTTGGGAACGTAGCCGTCAACAAAATGCTCAATAAATGAGAAAATGCAAAGCACAAGCAAATGGCAAAGGCGTCAGGCAGCAAAAAAAAATTAAACGCAAATTTATTGCACCCTTCAACATTTTGCTGCTGCTTTTGCCTTGGGCTGTTGCGGTGTGCTTAGTGTCATGCAAATGCTAGCCACGCTCTTCAGGAATTGTTATAAGTGGTGGTGTGACGATCGTTTGCTGATTGCTCAACAAACTCGACTCACAAAAGACAGCTCCTGCAACAGCAATGGCAATTAGTGCAAGGCAGCCAAAATGCAAAAGAACAAGTTGATTATGATTTATATATAATATATATACATATGTATTTATTCATATATTTATAGCTTAAGCAGGTAAGAGTTATCTAGTCGAGAGAGCTCGTCTAATAGGTGTAAAGTAAAGTAAAGTAACTCAAGCTTTAACAACATGGTGTCGGTGACAAATCTTTACAATGTCTGCTCGAAATAAAATCGGATTAAAATCTATCGAAGTCAACTGTGCATTTTTGGTCGAAGTCAAGCCTGGGTAATCGAAATCAACTGTGCTTTGCTCTTTCGGAAAGGAGAAGAAGAAGATAGCTCATTTATTAGCAATTCTTGCCGAGTCACCTGCCAATCGTCATAGGCCCTTTCCATTATTCTTTTGTGGTAAATTAACCTTGTATTGTAAGGTAAAAGCAGTAACGATGAACTGTCAGCCAATAAGAGGAAAGGGGAGGAAGTCAAGCACGCCAGGAATAAAAGCATTCATATCAGCTGGAACAGCAGCCGGAGTAACAGTCGTAGCAGTCGTAGCAGCCGCAACACTAGCAACAGCTGTTCTTAACTTTCTGTGTCAATTTTAAAACGAAGAAGTCAGCTATTGTGGCACTAATTATGAATAGAATACGGAACTCCAATCAAACATCAAACAGACGCAACTCTCAAGGACTAGAAGGAACGCCAACCAACGGCTACAGCATCCTTCGAGCACTATACACTCACTGCACTCTTTCAGCCGAAGCAAAGAAACCAAATGGAACACAGAAACACAAGTGCTACAAACACTCATATCACACACACATACATAGCCAGGAGGACAATCATAATTTTAATTGATTGAATATTAACCAGCTATAATAAATGAAAAACAGCGCATAAGAGTATGCAATTCCCATTTAATTTAATATTTTTTTTTATATGGCCAATTGCGGCTGCTTTAAATTTCTTATTCACAAAAACTTGTTGCATATTCTTGAGCTGAAGATAAGCGGTGCAAATCTTTACTAAGCAATGACAGCAACCTTATCTAGTTTTTGATAAGTGTTTACCTTCTTGAATATCTGGTCACATCAAACAATGCTGGCAAAATATTTGTTAGGTGGTGTTGATGCAGCCAAAGCTAATTAGCGGCGCAAACATACGGCGCCAATAATGTTGATAAAAGTTGGGCAACCGAAAAAATGCAAATGGTTTTCTAAGCCATTAAGTTTGTAAAACAGCCGCAGCAGCAGCAGCAACAGCAGAGCGGTAACAGTGGCAACAGCATCAGCAACAGCAAAAGCAACGGCCAAGCCATAAAATGTAATTTGCCGCCGCGAAATAACAAACGATCCAAAGCCAAAAACAATTGGGTTCAATAAAATAATTCTCGCCCAGAGCACGGCAGCTGGCAAAAGGCAGCCAGCTGGACTCATGCGTTATGGGCGTGGCACTAATCGCATCAACGGAAGCTATTCAAGTTGTAGCAAAATGGAACTGGCTGCAATTAAAGAGGAAATACTCTGGCTGCATCGCCCAAATCCATATTAACATATATTTATTAAGACGAAGCAAAAGAAAAGAGGACTTGCAACACTTGTGTTTAGTCAGCAAGCGCTGTGACATTAGGCACGGCCAGGCGTTGGCGGCAGCACTGGCCTAATTGTCACCTGGGTCGGCAGACTAACACAGGGCATATCATTATCGGTCAGCTGCATCCCGGCACAGCGACGCCTGTCCGTCGGCAACCAATCTGCAAGAAAAGGTGTGGGAATTAAGTGGGCTCAATGGATTAGCAGCAGCACACTCACTGTTCCGGGGTTGAGTGTGGCAGTTTTTGTTGCGCAGCTGGCATTGATTCGCCACCAGCTTGCACAACCGACCGTCGAGTGAACGTGCGCAAATCTCGCCATGGGGCGACGAGCGTTTACAGACCACCGGACGAATGGTACACTCCCGTTGGCACCAGAACTCATTCGCCGCCCCCATGCCTGGCACCCGCCGGCAGTCAGTCTCCGGTGTGTGTATCCACCTCGGACTGCTGCTGCCCCGATTCTGGAGATTCAGCGTGATCAGCTCGCATATGTTACTGAAGCGACGACACATGCCGCTCCAGGTGCGGCCGCAGATGCGCGGACTGCGCAAGCCACAAGCGATGGGGCATGGTGGCCGAACGGTCACCCATTGTCCCGGACGTGTCGCCGCTCTAGTCGACGGTGGTAGCAGGAGTAGCGCCGTTGCGAGCACAGTGGCTGCTAAAAGTAAGTGAAGAAGTAACTTAAACGTTGCCTCAAGGCGAGCAGAACTTACCGATTAATGTGACCAACTGCATATTGATATGCTGGTTGTGGTTTACCAGCTAGCGCCACAGCTCATCGTTCTTATAGCTCTTGGAGACTGGGCGAAACAATGGCAACAGCAAAGAATGGCGGGAGGAACAACAGTTGCTTAAACTTGCAACATTTGTCTCTGACATGCGCCGCTTTTGTTTTGCATTGCTTTTCTGCTGTCAAGGGTATTGACTTTAAAAACTCAATGATTCGATGTGTGTGCAGAGATGAAAGCATGTCAATATCACTTTCATGATTTCTTGCTGCTTTTGAAACATCAGCTGCTTTTATATGAAATCTAATTGAAAACAGGTTCAGAGACAGACTATGAAAAGAAAACCCTTTGATTGTTAAATCGAACATATTCAAACCCATACGTTTGTTTCAATAGAGAGCCAAATTAGTGGCATTTCCAGAGAGTTTTATCCACGCTCATCTCACCAACATCGCCCAAGAAATTGTATTCTACTTTCTTCATACCCATTAACTGAGCTATGACAAATTTATGCTTCTTAATATTTAAATTCGCCCTTATCTGTGTTCTCATCAGAATCTGATATACTATATACATTAAAATTGTCTCCGAGCAAATCTTTGCTTATTTGAAATATATTTTTGGTTACTGTTTCCTCTGAGTTCTGAGCTGGACTCTGTGCCTTTTTACGTTTCAAATAAATACTACTATGTACTACAATTTTGACTAGATGTATTCTCATAGTTCTTTTCAGAATATTAATATAATTAATTAATATCTTAGCTAGACTACGTACTCACATGTACTTATTTGTATTCATTTGAATAAATGTGTCAGAAGCACGTTCGTTTCATTCGATTGTTTCATTCACTCGATTGTTTGCCACCTTGCTATTTAAAAATTGTACAACAGCAAGCCGAAATAAACATATGGCATAATTAGGTCAGCAAAACATGCATTTCAATTAAATGAAAGCTAGAAACATCTACGAGACAATGGGGCTGCAATAAGGCTGGGATGTCGTCGGGCCCTATAAATAGGCACCTCGATCAACTGGGAATCATCAGCAACTTTCGTTAGCTCCTGATAACATTTACAATTACAGTTGCAATCAGCTCGAATCATGTTCAAGATTACCGCTTGCTGTTTTCTGCTCCTCGTCCTGGTGGCTATCAGCGAGGCACGCAAACCATCGCATTGTTCGGGTCGTTGCTCTGTCAAGGATAAGGACTCAAAGGAGAGGGTGTGCGTGCGGAGTTCTAGATCAAAAATCTGTACCAAGCTGCGTGCCTGCCGTCTGCGTGAGCGGAACTGCGGTCTAAGGAACCTGGGCTTGGCGCCGCTCAAGGTGACCAACTACAAACGTTGCGCCAATGTTAAGGGCAGCTCCGGCTCCGCTCCATGCGCATCCCTTCCACGTCGCCAATCACACCGCAGATCGAAAAAGGACGTAAGCCGCTGCGACCTGAAGTCCTGCAAACATCAAAAGCGCAACAGCTGCTGGCACTCTAAAGAGTCTGGACGCAAACTTTGGCTGAGCAGCTGCGAAGCCCGGAAGAGAAACTGCCGCAACGCCAAGAGCCCATATCTGCAGCTGGTGCGCGTCAAGGATTCGGAATGCCACCGCCGAGCACGACATGTCAAGGGTTAAGCATGCTGACAACGACAAATCCAAAGCCCAGACGACATATATATGTTTACCCTGGCAGAGGGCTTACAGCTTGAAGTAATTCAAACGCAACAACCACAATTTTATACATAACTCCCATTGAATTAATCGGTTCTTAAATGAACAATTCAAATTCGATGGGAGCAAGTGGTCGTGGTCGTTGTCGCTGTCTTCTTTCTGTTAGTGTACGTAGATATATGTATGCCTTCTGCGTTCCCATGATAACTGCTCTCTTATATTCTTTTTTATTGCATTAATTTTTTATTTTGTGTTTTAAATTTTTTTTTTTTGTTCTTTTGCTTCAAATTCAAAGCGCTCGTAAATATTTCATAATGTTGCGACAATAAAAATAAATATCATTTTATGGTAGCCATTTCTTTGTTCTGCTTTTGTTCCTGTCTGCCTAGTAAAGCATACTATGTCAGTTGTGCACAGTGCACAGTGCACACCTCTTACCCTCCCGCATTGCTCTGGCCAGGCAATCGCTTGCTTGACTTGGCCATAAATTTGTTTGGGGGCAGTTTTCAAGGCGCCAAGCCAAAAGCGGCCGAAACGGCTGCGCAAATGTTCAATAAATTAAAATCGACTGCCATAAATTTCCATGTCAGTACATTAATTAAAAGGCCGTAATTCGCTTGGCCATGTCACATGGCACAGACTCCTCCGTTCTGTATGTCCATCTGTCCGTTCGTCCAGTTGTATACGGTGTGCAGTCACCTGCCTCACCGGCCACCTTCCACATGGCAGCTCTGCCGTTGCGGAAATTTTATAATTCAATGCAATTAAAAAGCCAAACAGCTTGAAACGGTGGAATCCATCGATTTCCGAGTGAATTTCATTATATTCCTGCTGCGATTCGATTTAAAATTCCAAAATAACACATCTTCCTAGTCATCTTGATTGCGTCTACTCTACTTGAAGTTGGTCGAGCGGTACTCAAACAATATCCAATTTGATAACACCTTACCCTAAAAGTGATTTAATCAATTAAGTTATATGTACAAATAACTTTTTACTAGCTCCGCTAATCAAAGATATGCAATATAAATTGCTTTTAAATGCTTATTTTACTTTACTATAAGATTAATGCAGTCATGGCAAATTCGGCAGAAATTTTTATCTGTGCAACGTATGGAAGAAAGTGATGCCCATCACATTAAAAATGGCAACTCCAAAATAGTGCTCTAATTATTTGAAATGTACCAGCTAAAAGTTATTCGAAATTGCTTCAGACGAATTTATCTTGAATTCTTTGACAGCAAAGTCAATGAAGTTTGACTTTGATTGCCAGTTATCGGCAAGACTAAATAATATTTGCTTGAAATCACCTTTAAGTAAATTCTATCGAAATCAACTGTGCATGCTGGATCAAATTCATGGAGCTCATTTCTCAGTAAATCTCGACGTGTCAGTTGCTAATCGGACGAGTTCTGGCAAAAAATAAAAAAAATAATAATAAAATAGAAAAGAAAACTATAATTGAAATTGAGTAAATTTGTGTTAATTTTTTGGTGAATAGAAAAGGTTTCGCGTAGTGAAAATGCCTTCTAAAAGTAAGCGCAATAACGAGCAGGCAATGAAGAAGCGTAAAGTGGAGAAGGGCGGTGGAGGCAAGCCTTCATCGGAGAAGAAGAGACGCTCTTCTTCCTCGTCATCTGGCAGCTCCATCAGCGACCGCTACAGCAGCCGCAGCTGCACCAGCGACAGCTCTTACGATTCAACATCCACAGACTCGCAGAGCGTGTCGACAGATGAAGAAAAGCCTAGTCATCGCACACGTCACTGCAAATCAATTAGACAATCAAAATGCAACCGAGTGGTTGGTAGTGGTTTATACAAAACGAAGGTTCCAGAACTTCTGGTTCCATCGCCGTCGTTGACACCAGTCCGGAAGACTGTGTCAACTAAGATGGCAGCAGCGGCAACAACTTCCATGCCAGATCCGGCAGCATTAGAGACTTGGTCACCAATGCCAAGTAACTCCAAGAAATCGAAATCGATGAAGAAACGCAAGGGCCGGGCCGCATCGCCAACTCAAAAACTCAATGAGAAGAAATCAGTCACTGCAGTACCAAACACCAAATACCAGAAACCCCAAAAAGCACCTGAGGCAACAACGCCCAAAGGCAAGAAGGAGCGCCAAATACCTTCAGCCAAAAAAGCAAAGGAGAATGAGCCGCATCCAATCTCAAGCGGCAAGGGTCATCGCTCACCCACGCGTCCAGTTGAGACATCCGAGAATAAAAATAATAGGCATACAACATTATGTTCAGCCGATATACATAAGAATTCCCGTGCTAAACATTCGACCTCACAAGGAAAGGTCAAGGATGCAAAACGCTCAGAGAAGCACCCATCAACCCATGCAGTCGCAAAGCCAAAGATAAGGGAGAATGAATCATCAACATGGCACTCAACTTCACGTGCCAGAGACAAGGTGATGACATCATCATCATCGCACTCATCTACCAGAGCCAGAGACACTGAGCTACAACAGATGCTTTTCCACGCAATCACAGTGCCAAAGGAAATTATTCTTGACCAACATAGCCCCGAACCAGTTTGTCCATCGTCAAAACCGTATTTTGAGGATGTACGCAGGGATGTGAGGTCGGCATCGCGAACCAGGCAATGGCGCTCATCATCGCGGCCAGCTCATCGTGACGGGGACAGACGCTCACCGTCTGGTCAACGTGATCGGATTAGGTACCGCGACCGTCGCTCACGCTACTCGCCAACGCGCTCGTATGAGTTCAGCAGGAGCCAAATTGCGGAGCGACAAAGGACCGTGCGCCTGCACATTCACGGGCTGTCGCCCCACGTAACCAAGACGCACATCTTCAACATTTTTAACAGCTTCGGGCCGGTGATAAGCGTTGACTTTCCTTATAAGCGCAACGAGTTTGGCTTCGCTGGGCGCGGATATGCCTTTGTCGAGTTCGAAAATCCCGAGGACTGTGAGATAGCGCAGAAGACAATGAACGGTGGCAAAATCGATGATCAGCGCATCTCAGTCACCGCCTTCGATCAGAACTTGTTGCGTTACCCATGGCGTCCTCGCTTCTGACCTCTCAACACTCATTGAACCCGCATAACATAACACGACACGCAGCACACAAACATTGTCGATTCCTTGAAGAACTGAACTATTTACAATATTAACACTTGCTTGCGATTATAATGTCACACACACACACACACACACACACACACACACACACACACACACACACATATACAATTATAATTGTTATCGGGGGATTGAATAAAATAGATGAACATTCAGCATATCAGTTATTTTAGGCAACCTCAACAGCGAACGATTGTCGTCCATCATCGCTGCTAATGATTAAATACATATACGCTTGAAGTGTTCACAGATGTTTAGTTCAGATTATGACAACCACTGAATGGGTATTAAAAGTGTACACAAAATAAAATGGCTTCCAGTGCTGCTGACTGCTGGCTGCCGGCTGCTCGAGGAATCCTACTGGATATGTTCAACAAATCGCACTTGAACAACATCTGTGTGTTGATATTTGATATTTATTTGCACAGAAAGTGTAAACAAGTTTCGAGCAATATGACAGCAATAAAATAATATTAATAAAAAGAAACAATGTGCTGCAATATGATTATATTTTTATTTTTGCAAAAACTGTGAAATTCTTGATTCATATCAAATTGCTCGCAATGTTGTCGCCAAAATAGAAAACCATAGTTCTCTTTTATTCATCTCATTTTATTAGAAATAATTAAATAACATTATGAAAATTACTCAAATATTTGGCACAAATTTACTTATAGCTTTTGCATAAGACTTTATCCTATCGGCTAGTTAATTGACACTCTATCGATAGTCTCCAATTGTATATCGATTATTGTGTGATTTTAAATTGAAATTGCAATAGTAAACAGTAACTTGTCAATAATAATAAAATGCACTAATTGGAAAGTTTCTTAACCTGCTGTTGTTGTTTTTATTTTTCTTGTCTTCTCCCGAAGTTACCCTCGCGAGCCCTCAGCTCGATGCAAAAGCTGACCGCATTGGACTTTGACTACAACGAGATTGTGCGCATCGAGGATTACAGTTTTTATGGCCTACGCGTTTCCAAGCTGAACATTAAGGGCAATCGGTTGCAGGTTATACCAGAGCATGGATTCGCCGGTCTAGAGGATTGCATGCAGGAGATTGATGTGTCGGAAAATGGATTGCGCACATTTCCGATGATGGCGCTGCGCAAGCTGGACCATCTGCGCATTCTTCGATTGTCCAACAATAAGATATCCACATTCTATGGCGACATTCAGCTGGCCACAAACAATGCCTCGGCGGCAGCATCGGCAGCAGCCGCTTTAAAGTTACCATCTTTAATCCTGCTGGATCTCAGCTCGAATCAGTTTGGTGAGATTATATACGATTGCTTTCGAGCGTTTCCGCAGCTGAAGACGCTGTCGTTTTATGCAAACCAAATCGAGCTCGTTCAGTCCGAGGCATTCAAGAGTCTCAAGGAGCTAATGTCGCTGGACATGTCACACAATCGCATCATCACACTGGACCCCAAGGTTTTCGCTAAGAATAAGCGCCTGCAGACCGTTGATCTGAGTCACAATCACATACACGCCATCAGTGGCGTCTTCTCCAATTTGCCGCAGTTGCGCGAGGTATTTTTATCGGAGAACAATATACTTGAACTGCCAGCAGATGCGTTTACCAACTCGACGAACGTGGACGTCATTTATCTGGAATCGAATGGCATTGCGCATATTGACCCCAATGTTTTTAGCACATTATCGAACTTGGATCATCTGTATTTGCGTTCCAATTTTATACCGCTTGTGCCTGTCACTCTATTCGATAAATGCACGAAGCTCTCATCACTGTCGCTGGACAACAACGAGATCCAAGACCTGGAGATCGGTATGTTCCGCAAGCTGGAGCAGCTGCGAGAGGTGCGCCTGCACAATAATCGCATCCGGCGTGTGCGTAAGGGTGTCTTTGAGCCGCTGCCGGCGCTACAGGAGCTGCACATACAGAAGAACAACATTGAGGACATTGAGCCGGGGGCGTTTCACACATTGGCCAACATGCAGCATATCAATCTGCAGGACAACCAGCTCACCGTGCTAGAGGATATCTTCCCCGAGCAAAACTCATCGCTGCTTTCCATCCAGCTGGAGGCAAACTATCTGCACAAGATCCATCAGCGCACCTTCCGCCAGCAGCAACGCATCCAGATAATGTGGCTGCGCGACAATCAGCTGGCGAAGATCGATCGTTCGCTATTTGTGGACACGCCACAGTTGGGCCGCCTCTACTTGAGCAACAATCACATACGCGAGATTGAGAAGGACACCTTCGGCAGCTTGGGACTGCTGAAGTTCCTCGACCTGAGCGGCAATCAGTTGCGACAACTGCGACGCGACTATTTCGCCACACTGTTCAGCCTCGAGGAGCTGAGTCTGGCCAACAATCAGATCGAGGCCATCGAGGGCTTTGCGTTCAGTCGGCTCAAGCAGCTCAAGTTGCTGGATCTCTCGCACAATCCGCTCGTGCAGCTGACGCGTGACATATTCTTGGATGAGCTGCCGCTGAGCATGCTCAATTTGCGGAACACATCGCTGCGCAAGCTTGAGCAGCACACGTTCAAGTCCATGCAGAATCTAAACGAGTTGAATCTGGAGCGTAATCTGCTTAATCCGGCAGACATCCAGAAACTGGATGTGCCCAGTTTGCGACGTCTGCACTTATCGCACAATAACTTCAGCCATGTGGGCATCGGCGGAGGAGTCGGCGGCATTATGTCCGGTATGTTCGATAAGCTGCGCTCCCTGCAGCACCTATCGATGGCAAACTGTAGCTTGAGAAGCATACCCGATCAGCTCTTTGCCAAGAACACCAATCTGGTGCGCATCGATCTCTGCGACAATCAGCTGTCCGAGATGAACCGCAACATCTTCAGTGGATTGAATGTGTTCAAGGAGCTGCGCTTGTGCCGCAATAATCTCGTCGAGTTTCCGCACATCGCACTGTACAATTTGAGCACGCTGGAGACGCTGGATCTGGCCCGGAATCAACTGAACTCCATCGATTTCTTCAAGCTAAGCGGCACACTGAACCTGAGGCATCTGGTGTTGCGAGACAACAAGATCAGCTCATTGAGCGGCTTCAATGCGGTCAATCTGACGCAGCTGGACAACGTGGATCTTAGTGGCAATCTGCTGCTCTCGTTGCCGGCCAACTTTCTGCGGCACTCGATTAACTTGCAGCGTGTAGACTTGTCCAGCAATCGATTCCTGCAGATACCCAGTTCAGCACTCTCCGATCTGTCCATACCACGGTTGTCCTGGCTAAATTTGACAGGCAATCCCATAAATAAGATCTATACGGTGAAGGAAGAGCGTTACTTGTATCTCAAGGAGCTGTACATTTGCCAGACGAATCTCTCCATTCTCACCTCCAAGGACTTTGAGGCCTTTCAGGCGCTGCAGCATCTCCATTTGGTGAATAATCGCATCACGCGCATCTCGCCGGGTGCCTTCAAGTCGTTGACCAATCTGTTGACCCTTGACATGGGCGTCAATGAGCTGGAGCTGCTGCCCAAGGAGCGTTTGCAGGGACTGAAACTGCTGCGACTGCTAAACATATCGCACAACACGTTGAAGGATCTGGACGAGTTTAGTTCCGAATTGGCTCAACTGCAGACGCTGGATCTCAGCTTCAATCAGCTGGACCGCATCTCGAAAAAGACGTTCCGCAACCTGCACGGCCTTGTCGAGCTCCTGTTGATGGGCAATCGTATGACGGCACTGTCCAATGATGCCTTCCGCTATCTGCGTAAACTTCAATTGCTCGATCTGCGAAAGAATTACTTTGAGCTAGTGCCGCTGGAGCCACTGAAACCAATGGAGACAAATTTGCGCCAGCTGAAGCTAGACGGTGAGTAAATGAAACAGTGTCCCGTAAATTTAATTCTATATTTATTCTGACTGTCATTTTCACACACAAACAAATACACGCACACACAGAAAATCCACTGCATTGCAGTTGTGATGCACAAAAGCTGTGGGAATGGCTGCGGGATCATCGCAAATGGTCTCTATCGCCGTCCGGGGGCGATAACATTAATTATCTCAGGTGCGAACACCCAACGGAGCTGCGTGGCAAGGTGTTTGGCCGCATGGAGCCGCAGCAATTTTGTGACGCGCCATTAATACCCAAAATGGCCATACAGGACATACAGCCGTATTCGGTGGTCGTTTCCTGGCAGAGTCGAGACCATTTGGGCCTCACCGGTTTCGAAATCGTTTACCATGCCACCAACGATGGACTCATTGCTGGCCCAACCGACCGCGACGAGAGCAGAGGCCTTGATAATCATCACGAACGCGAACGCGAACGTGAACGGGAACGTGAACGGGAAAGAGAACGGGACCGTAACTACGATAGGTCCCGGCACGTAGACCGCGAGCTGGAACGCGAACGAGACGGAGATGCAGATGGAGATAGAGATAGAGAACGACCCGCCCAGTTTGCTGCCACGGATGAGGTAAGTGGCCGGTGATTGCCCAAAAGCAGACATGCACTGCCAGACACTGAACGCCAAATTTCGAAATTTATTTAATAGTAAATACTCATTGACGTTAAGCCAAATCGAGCTGTCCATCCTCATGTTTGCCCCTCGACCCCTCAGCCCGTCGTTGTGTTCATTCACTAAGCACTCATCGGGTCTTATCAAGGAGGGCATATGGTTTTGTTCAATCTTCTATAAACTCTCCCCAACTGTCTGTGTGCATACAAAATTTAGTTTAAGCATCGATGCGATGCTCCTAGCCACATCACAGTGGGCACAGTTGCGACATCAAGCATAAGAGATCCTTTAACAATTGGAGTAGTCAGCTTTGAATTATTTACTGTACGATATGCATTTAGCCAATTAGAAAATAAAATGTGAATTATTCAGTTTAGGTAATCAATTATTATCAATTTGGATATCATATATTAGGCTGCTCCACAAGTATAGACGCAATTCCATTAAATTATTAATAACAAGCGGTAATCGAACGAAAAAAAAAATATAAAATGATGCCCATTGTTCAGGTCGGGATATGGTAGTCAAAGTGCAGCCGCAGGCCGCGAGAAATAATTTGAATAAAACGACACGGCAATGAAGGCCAAGTCTGGCGAGATTGTGGTATTGTGGGGTGGGGTGGGGTCTACGGTCTGAGGTTGGCACGCAAGTAAAAGCAAAGTAAAAATAAAGCAAAAACAAATACAAAAAATAACAATCTTGAAACTTGGTTAATTTATTCCACAGATCCACGGCAAGCGGCTAAATGGCACGGCCAGCTCGACAAAGCTAACGAAACTGAGCCCCAACACACGCTATCACATCTGTGTCATCGGTACCGGTAATTGGCTCTCGGAGCCTTTGGCTAATGCGCTTCAAAGGCTGCACTACAATGAGACACGCGACGAGTTGCTGACACTGGGTCCACCTGGAACTGGAGCTGGACTTGGATTTGGTGATGTCGCCCTGCAAGCGCTGTCGGATACCTATTCGCCATATCAGCACCTGAACGGTGTGGATGATGAGATGGACCAGCAGCAGGCAGCGTTGATTGAGAACAGTATCGTGACGGACAAAGTGCTGAACGAGGTGTTGAAGAACTCGCACATCTCCGCCTGCACAGACGTACAGACATTGGACTCGACGCCCAGCCTCATTACTGATGAGAATGGACTGTCCAGCAATGGCTTTATACACTCGATACTGACTAGACGGCTGGGCCTCATTGTTGGCTGCTGTTTGGGCATTATCGTGTTCATTGTGATGATATCGGTGCTCAGCTATGTGAAGCTCAAGAAGCAGCGTATCGAGAACGCAAAGCGACAGGCAACCATGCCGCCTGAATACATCTCCTATCGCCACTTCTCCATACCCAACGAGGAGCTAACGCGTACAGCGACCAATGCTGCAGCTGCAGCTGCAGCTGGGGCTGCCTCGTCGTCGGGAGCGGGAGCACCCGTCGCAACTGTCTCACACAATATGTCGAGCGTGCCGAGCGGCATCAGCGCTCACATAAGCGGCACCAGTTTGAGCACCGGCACCACAACCACCACAGCGACAACGCCAATTGGTGGCGTACCATTGACGCTGGCCAAGTCGGGCAGTCGCAGTCCCATTGTGGGTATTGCGGGTCTCGTTGTGGAGAATGGCGATGCTGGTGGCAACGTGGCCGTCGTCACCGTCGCTGCCACGCCAGCCAACAGCAATGCCAATGGAAATGGCGGCGGCACTCACAGTCACAATCACAGTCACAACCACAATCATCATCAGGCGGCGCATCGTGCCAACAACAACGGCGCCATTGGGGGCTATATGGCAGCGGGAGTGGTACTCAATACGAACCATTTGAGCGTCTGTTAGTCTCATTCAAAAAGAGCCACTCGTACTCATCGACATTTTTAAATATATATATATATATATATATAATGCATTTTCAATTGCATTCGCGTTTTCTAGAGGCCCCTTAACAGCACCATTTGCAACTTGTGAATGTTGTCATTTGCTCGGAAACTCAGTCTCAATTGCTCTCATTTATCGATACACACGAAAGGGCCGTCATGAATGCATACATATATACATATATATATATATATATATATATATATATATATATATATATATATATGTTCATTTGTATAATCCTCTAACCGCTTCAATCAGACGCATTTGATATGCAGTGCCCAAAAGGTCAGGACTCAAGTCAACTCAATTCAGTTTATCGCACAGTGAATTCGCAAGCGACCTCAAAGTGTCACTTGAGTCTGTTGATCCGTTAACCTTTTGTCATATTTCACAATTTCACGGTTCATATTTGCTGTGGCATTCAATTCATTTAGCATTCAAACTTTATTTAATCAGAAAATATGGAAAAATGATTTATAAGTTTTCACTGTGGCCCAAAATGAATTTACTTTATGAGCAAAAGCCCCAATCTACTGAAATATAAACAAACAAACACAAAAGGAAAAAAAACTAGGTTAGTGATAATCAACATGATACGTTCAACGTTCGTTTAGTTATGGCAATTTAAAGTAGAGAAAAAAAATCCAAAAATAACAAAAAACAAAGAAAACCAAACCAAAAAATCAAACAAAGACACACACACGCAAAACAATATTCAATGTAAATAAAAGTTGAATCGTAAAAACAGCAACGTGAATCAAAAACGAAGGAAACAAATGGAAATCAGTTTTTTGAGTAATGATACAAAAATATATTAAACAAAAATTATAAAATACCTATAATAAATGTAGGCAGAAAAATCAAAGCAAATGCCAGCAGCATATGTATGTATGGCAATATTTAAGCACACACACTACTGTAATCAGTGTTTTTTTTACCCAAACTTAGAATTAAATATTTTTTTTGAAAGCAGCGCGGTAAGTAAAAAGTACTAAGTATATAGCAACAAAATTAAAAGAGCTACAAACTCAAAAAGTAGAATTAAATTGCGAACACTGAGCTGGCGAAAGAAACATATTAACAAATTAATTAACAGATAAATGAAATAATAAAATTTAATTAATTAAGCGCAAGCAACATGCAAAATTGTTGGCGAAAACTCAAAGAGTTTCATTTGTAAAATGCATAAATCAATTTTTTTCTCATAGTTAACTTGTATTTATAATTTTCTTAAAACAATAAATAAATAAATAAATATTTAGTTTTGTGTTTTTAAATAATAAATAAATATTTTTAGATTTAGTGAAGAGTTTAGCTATAAATCATAAAAATAAATAAAATTGATGGCATTTTATGCATAAGTAATATTTAACATATTCACATACATTCAGTGTATATGGCAAAGAGCAGCGTAGTATAACAATTACTTTATAGCCAGCAGCAAATGCGAGAAACTAAGTGAAGCACACAAACCAAACAAACCAAACAACATAACAGAAAACAATTTATGATAAAAGTGCAACAATTTACATAATGACAAAAAACAACAACGTAAATGCAAACCAAGCTATAGAATTACTAGCAGACTACTTGTAAGCAAAAAGAGGGACACTCAAACAAATCAAATCATAAGAAATGTTGCCCCATTTATGCAAAGTCCAGTTCCGTTCAGCAATAAACCCATAACCCCATCCGCTTCCCCTTTCCCTTCCTGAACGATTGTAACAATTTTGGATGTAAGCTCCATTCATGTTCTTTATCTCCAGTCACCCATCCAGTGCTTCTGTTTAAATCAAAACTGCTAAACAATACTAAATATATATGTATGTACGCACATATGTACAAATATTTGTGAATGTACAAGGCATTCTACTACATAGATGTTCATGTATTCATGTATGTGTACACAAGTCAAGTTATACAATTTAAAGTCAGAGAAAACCATCAAATTGGGACTGAACTTAAAAAAAAAAACACAAAAACAAAACGAAATCAAAAAGAAAAACCATTAATAATAAAAATAAAAAAATATAGCTGCGCATATTGAAAAATGCAAAACAAAATCAAGATTCGAAGTTTAGGATAAAAATTGCCAATGCAAAATGGAAAAAATAAAATTAAACAAATAATAGGGATAAGCGTATCTCGTAAAGACAGCTTTTAAGATGATCTGCAGTGTGTGTGTTATTTATTCTCTCTAACCTGGATGTAATCGGCATTAATAACTTATGCAAAGATAACACTTTCAATTATTCTATTCTTATGTAGAACAAGAAAGGCAAATGCAAAGGAGAATTCACAGAACAAATACAATAAATGGGATTATTATTAACGAAAAATATTGTATTGAAAGCAACAACAACTAAATATAAATAAATGACAAACAAAATTGAACGAAAACCATATTTTATTTATTATTTGACTCAAACAATTCACAGATAAGCATTTGCAATTTTCAGCTATATTGTAGTTATTTTTGTCTATTTGACTATTTTATAATTTTTTTATTTTTATATAAACTTTTAATTAAATGAAAGTTTCCGCTTTCTTGAGCACGTATTCTCATCAACGGCGTTAAATGCAATGCGGAATTTTAATTAGGCTTGCAAACACACATACACGCATACCATACTGAATGTTGCGGCAAGTAGATATGTATGTGTGTGTGTGTGTGTATCATGGGGCAGGTGTGTGGGTGGTTTAAGGTGTGCACTTGCGGCAAGCACATTGCTGTGGCCGCTTGTCTGCGACACGACATCTATTGTGTGTGTGTGTGCCTGTGTGTGTGTCACAGTGATGGTGTGTGCAACAGGATTTGCGGTACAATTGCTAAGAACAATCCAGCGTGCAGGAGACAGATGATTAGGTATCTACCGCTGTATTCACACGAAATTGCACAAGCTTGCATGCAAAGTATTATCAATGAGCATGCAACACACACATTTTCAGGTGCCGAATAAAAAATAAAATAAAAAATAAATAAAAATAAATATTAAGCTCTCTTTGGCACGCCGGAGTATAGATACCTCTGTAACTCTATCTCTATAGTATTTGATTGAAAGAAGCATCTCCTTATTTATTCTTAATCAGAATCAACAGCCGAGCCGATCTAGCCATGTCCATAACTATAAAAGTTAGAGATTTAAGATTTCGAATATAAGTTCTTGTATACCCCGAGCACATCAAGTTTATTTAATTGTATCGATTACTGATATACATATTTTAGATCTATTGGGCAGACTATTCTTGGGGATGGTATGTTAATCAACATTAGCGAGCGTATATCGTAGTCGAGCTCACACGACTACAGCATTCTTAGTTATTTAAATTGCACTTGCCACTGTGCGTTTTGAATGTCTACCTTTTTCTGAACCTTCAGCTTGTCACATACACAGCTTGTTATTACGCATACATATTTTTGCGTCGTTAAATGAATGGAGTTCCAATTAAATTGTTATTCTGTTCCAAGTTCCACGAAGACATCTTCAGGCAATGCAAATTTGCTAGTAAGCTGATATGTTGGCACAAGGATGTTATTTATTTGACTAAAGTAAATGATGTTGGTGCAGCTGAAGCTGAGATAGTTGACGTTGACTCCATTTGCATTACGTGCAACAATAAATAGGTAACTAGGCAAACTGCTATAAATGACAATATTGACAGTTGGAACATTTACTGCTCTACTCAACTAGTACACCCACTTTGCTGGTCTGCCAAGACAAATTGCAACAGTAACTGCGACTTTAGTTGCAACTCTTGCTGCGAACTGAGACTCGGAGCGACCACAAGTCAATTTACGTCAAGTCGAATCAAGTCAAGTCAAGTCAAGTCACACACTCGTCACACAGTACGTTCTCATCATCACAATTTCAGTGAAGGAATTTTTAAAAAAGAGTCAAAAAGAGTATAAAATTAAATCTAATAATAACGATATAGGAGTGCATATACTAAAATATGTATTACTTTAAAGAATTTTTTATTCAAGTTTTCTGCTTAAATGGGGCGCAAAGTATAAGTATGAACTAGTTTGAATATTTAACATTGATAAAATCGCAATCTTGTAAGGCACATTGACTAAGCCGTCTTTTTAAAGTTAAGGAACTTTCTGTTATTTGCATTACTTCGGGCGATATCATTTTTCCAACGAAAAACAATCAGATTGGCAGACTGTGCCACATCGCTATCATCATCATCATCATCTTCTTGGCGACGTGGATGTCAACAGTTTGCCTGGGCTGTCAATGTCAATGTGGCTTCGACTTAATTGCACGGCAAGGACAAGGATATGGTTGATGTTGCTCACCAGCTCGAAGTGGCAAGCTCGCGGTGCATACCCTGTGCCCCCAAAATGTGTGCGACGATCGAAGGGCAACTTGCGACACCTGCTGCAAGTTAAGCATGTCTTGATTTTCTAATCAAAATTTTAAGTCTTTCTGATAATACACAGGTATTCTAAACTCCATTGTTTGCATTAGGGGACTTTATATCCAGACTACAGGGTATTTTCAAGGAAATCACTCCCCTAATGTGGCATCTTCAGATGGATGCAAGTCATTGTTGATTTGCAGTGTCCCACAGATAGGAGGAGGTTCATGTCAGAACATCCCATAGACAAGAATCATTGGGGTAATTCTAGTTTTCTAATTGCTAGTTTTTAGCAACCTTATCAACTTATTATAATTTTTCATTCAAAAGCAAAAACAAGTGTCGCATAACTTGCTCCATAACTAACGAATTCAATGGGAAAACAAGAGCTTCATGGCAAATGTTATTATTACAAAGGAAAAGCCGACAACAAAATATAAGGGAAACAAGCGGAACATATTTTTCACCTCAAAACTATTGAAAATTACTATAAACAGCTTCACCAAACATATGGAATGAACTTGCCTGGCCATCAACAACAACCACAACAATAACAAAGATATATGTATTTATGCCATCCATGAAACTGACCACCACCCAGTCAATTTATGAGCGTCAATTTGTGAAATGCCAGAAAATAAAACCAAAAAAATATAAAAAAACAATGAAGAAACGAAAGAAACGTCGCAAATCGCATACCCTAACATAACTATTTACTTCTAAATTCAATTATTAGTTGAAAAAACCAAAGAGTTGTTACTCTGAAAGCTATTAAGTAGTGTCAAAATGTAAGGAC